ACCGTAGATAGCAACCTGGTATAGTTAGAAAGTGAATTTGAAATCTTTGGATAGCACTTGGACAAGGAGCATCACCGCAAAATTTTGGCTTTCTGGCCTTTCTAATTTCCACATTAACAGTTCTTTCGCCAAGACTTCCGCGTGCCTGCATGTGAAACCCAGCAGCACTTGAGAGCTGAACTTCAAATGTCTGGACCGCACGTGAACAAGAAAACCCTCTTAGAAGGACATGTTGTGTTACACATCGGAAACAAATATGCTTACCGATTAGTCCTGTTTCCAGAAGTCGCACATCTGGCCTTCGTCTACTGTCTGTTGAAGCTATTTTTTCCGTTATATAGGAAGGATCGTTCAACAGAAATGTAAATGACGTAAAATTGTACATCTGCAAGGGAAAAGCAAACAGTTAGAAAAGCTAAAAAATCGGCTTCAATTTCTGGACAAAATCATCCAAGCAACTGTAAACTTTTTTAAAAACTTCGATTTTAATCAAAGTCTACGAAAGAATTACTAACCGCTGATGAATTCGATGGCCGAGGGCGGCTTTTCCAAAGAATTTTTGATCCTTGAATAAGGGGTATGTTTTTCTGCAATAATTCCGTATATTTCGATAATGCGCAGCATCTCGTAGAGAAAGATGTGCTTTTCCACTCTAACATCACCAGCAAAAGTTATGGCCTTCCCAGACTTTACAACAAAGAACAAAACTACGACTGTTCTACTGAGTGTGCGTATCTGCTCCTAATGATGTTGCTAGGACGCCCCCACATGCCATGCGCGGCTATGTCAGTCCCTTCGATTCTGAGCTGATTTCGCAACCGGCTCAAATGGCTCGAGTGTGGGATTCCCAGAACATCAGCGCCAGATTTAACGCCTCCAGACGCAACTTTAAAGTAATTCTAAAATCTTTCAGACTCAATTTTTCGTCTTTTTAAATCAATTTTGCACAATTTTGGCAAAATTCGTATGCCTCGGGAGAAGCAACCCCTGATTAGGGCCAGAAGATGTTCCCATACTGAATATTTCACCAAAAGTACGCCCCAAAACTCGATAAAAACGAATTTGTCGTCCTATTTGCAAAGAATTGAGCACTGGAACAGCAAGTAGTACCTGTGATAGATGAGTGTTAAAGGCCTGCTTGGCAATTTCTAACCAATCATCGTAATTTGTATTAAAATTATTAACATCACATGTCGCAAAAAATGATGTCCAATTACCGTAAGCCGCTTTAAGAATTTGCTCTCTGCAAATTGTTCAAGCAAAAAATTAATCCAAAACATGAAACTGTGTTCAACACATACACACACACACACCAAAGAGATCAGAACGGCTGAAGCATTGCCTAACACTGCCTGGAGAAGCGCCAACTGTCCCCCAGCTTAAGAGAAAAAGACAGCCGAACTGAT